GAGAGAGAGAGAGAGAGAGAGAGAGAGAGAGAGAGAGAGAGAGAGATACAGCCTGTTTGGCTCTTAAAAAAACTGGAGTGAGATTGATTAATTTTAGACATTCAGCATAAAAATTAATAACTACTTTCTTTTTAGCGCAGCTTAAATATTCAACTCACTGGTGTTTGTCTGTCATAATGTCAAGTAACACTGCAAGTTTGTGATTAGCTTAATTTGACATAGTAGCCCAGTGCATTTGGCTATTGAACTTGAGAAATCTTATTATCAGTTCCGCATACAAGAATATTCTCTGCAAAACCTGACAGGAAATCAGTGGGTTTTCTCTGAGTGGTTAAATGTGAAGCATCTCTTGGTATTCATGCATGACCACTGTTAAACCTAATAAAAGAAGGGCAGTGGGTAGGAGGGCTGGGAAGGAAGCTGATACGTAATATTCTTCAGTGAGGTTTAGTAAAGTAAACGGGGGCTCTGGGCCATAATTCAGGCACTGTGCTAACAGCTACATATAAGCTGTTTCCTTAAAGAAACTATTCAACCTCCTTAGTACTTTAAGAAATTAGCACAGTATGGAAGATCATAATAATTGCTGTCTGATAACAGTGTGAGTCACATCTGGGCTATCATATATGAATGACAAAATATTGTTGAGATATGATCTTTCCCTGGTGTTGTGGTGTTGGTGGAAGCACTTTCTGCTCCTTCAGCCAATAGCCTTTAAGATACCTGCCCATTTCTCCAATACTTTAAAAGTAGCTGTAAAGCGTGCACTCCTCTCTCTTGCTTCTGGCTTCTGCTTCCAACCAGTAGACTCTGTTCCTGTTCACGCAGAGGACGGTTGTCTAGGACAGTGATCTGTAAGTTTTTCCTTAAATAAATAACCCTTTATTATTCATAATTCTGAACTGGTGTGGGATTATTTTGTGACTTCAGTCATCACTTTGGTATTAAGGCAAACTTGATTTCCTTCAGCTGAATACTGTTATTTCATGCTCAAATAATTTAAGACAAAAGATGTGGTTGATCAAAATTAAATAAAAATGTTTCTAAGCTGGAGTGATCTATGAAGACCCAATATGTTGATTTCACTGATGTATGAACCTCACTTGCCACCACTGAGTTCAAAGGAAGAATCCATTCATCGTCTCCAGCTGAGTACATTGTTCTTTACAATGTATTGACACTCAATGTCTTTTGGATGAAGTACTGAGTTTTGAAGAAGTTAAAAGACCAGCCATCGTTCTGAGGAACTTTGGTCACTATATTTATGTTATCATGATAATTTCACTTTAGATCTCCTTCATCTACGTGACTGAAGTTAAATCTAAGCAGTGGCAGGTGTGATCCTGAATCCAGGGAGTTCATCACAACCAGACTACTTCTTTTCTTTTACGTGACGAGAGATATGAGTGAAGAAATAACACTGACAGATTCTGGAGACTTTCAATCTACAGGTAAGCCAGGAATATATGAAGGTTCAGTGGCCTTCATAAAAATAGACCCTTTTGTCTGTATTCATTTTTCCTGTTATCCCTTTGTTGCCATTACTACTCAAGATGTAGCCCTGGTCTTTGAGACTCATGGTTAATTGTTTTATCACTCTGCAGAATAAATATTTATTTATTTATTCATTCCTGATGACTATTTTGGTTGTGTCTGGTCTAGTTTCATTGTTAACAAATCTTATGTAAAAATTAGTGTGTACATTTTGGTCTATACTAATTCTATACATACACTTTCATTTCTGTTGGGAAAACACCAATGAATAGAATGGATAAGCCCTAAATCAGGCATACGTACATGTGTGTGTGAGCACACACATGCATGCACATGCGAATGTGACTCCAATGCTCTTTTCATAAAAATTACATGTGTGTTCTGGTCTTTCCATAGCTTCCTAACATATTCGTGTATTTTGAAAGAATGGAGACATATTCTAAGAATGTTTTGGTAGGTGATTTTATCATCATACAAACACAAGAAGGACACTGACTGCGCAGTGGATATTTGCACCAAAATCATTATATGCATGTAAATCACAAATTCACTGTATTGGAGTAGTTATAAAATCTCTAAATCACAGGGATTTATTTAATTCCTTTATAAACATGTGGGACTGGGACCACCATTGTATATGTTTCATCTTTAGCCAAAAGGCAACAATAATGTGTAGTGGTGGTGGTTTTAATTTTAATCTTTCTAAATTAAATTCAAGTGCTGTGATTTTTAAAAATTCAGTTTTAAGGTTTTTAAATTATCTTTTATTATTTGTGATTATCTCTGCCTCTCTCTCTCTCTCTCTCTCTCTCTCTCTCTCTCTCTGTGTGTGTGTATGTGTGTGTGTGTGTGTGTGTGTGTGTGTGTGTGTGTGTGTGTGTGATGAAGAGAATAGAAGAGGGCATTGGATCTCCTGGAAGTGGAATTGCTGGTGGTTGTGAGCCACTTAATGTGGGTGCTGGGAACTGAACTCAGGTTCTCTGGATGAACAGCAAAATCTCTTAATCACTGAGCCATCTTGCCAGCCATTACTTTGCACTTTTCCAATGACTAGTGGTGATTAATACTTTAAAATCCACATAATCGTTTTTTCATATATCTTTTTTAGGATGTTTTTGCACATCCTAAAATTTCAGGGTTTTTTTTTCAGTTCTTTTGCTTAACATTTTCTTAACATGTATTTATTAACTACTGAGATTTTATATATGCTAAATACAAGTTTTTTGCCAAGCGTTGAAAATGCACTTGTTTCCGCATAGTCTCTGGATTATCTCATCTTTCCTAACACTGTCTTTTGAAGACCCAAAGTTAATAATTTTTAGGAAATTCAATGTGTTTTCTGACAGATCATGTTGTTTAATTAAACTAAAGAGATCTTTACTCATCCTAAGGTCACCAGAATTTTCTCCATGGTCCACTTTGAGACTTTCTCCTTTTGTGCCAATGGGTTGAAGTTTAGATTGAAACAATTTCTTGCATATAGATATCCCTTTGTTCCAGGACCATTTATGAAAATGATTAAAATGATTATCTATTTTCTGTCTTTATCAAAATCTAATGACAACACAAGTGTGTACTTATCATTATGTCTTCCATTTTTCTTTACATCAGAACCAGGCTGTGTTGCTAGGTCCAACTTTGATGTCCCTAGGCCAGGCAATGCTTTTCCTCTGAGAGAATTTGTTTTCAAAATTGTTTCATGCACTTTAGGCTTTTTTTCCATTTTCACAAGTACTTCATAACTAGTTAACCAATATCTTCCCAAAACAAAAAGTTGCTGCGAATTCTTTACTGGGAATTATCATAAATCAGTAGATTGATTTTGGTAGAATTAACAGCTTAACAGTGCTGTGTCTTTTAATGTATGGAAACAGCCTCTCCATTTTTTTATGCCCTTGTTTCTCTCAATAATGTTTTGTCATCCTCAGTGGACAGTTATAGCATACCTTTTGATGGGTTTTCCATAATTAATATTTTATAGCATCTCATATTTTAGTTACATTGATAGCTGCTAAAATATAGAAACATTATCAGTTTTTTTTGCATTGGTCTTGATATGATAGACTTTCTAACACACTATCAGTGATGAAGACCTACTTAGTATTTTATAGGAAATAATATCTTGTTCATTCATCTCACAGAGTCTCGGGAATTTCAAACCAGGAGCAGATGGAGATTTTACCCTTCTCAAGTCACCAGCCTCCTTTTGATGACTGTAGTCTTCTTTTTAGTGATTGTAGCACTGGGAGCAACTTTAGCAGGTGGGTTGCCTGTTGTTATTAGGAAAACTTTTATCCTGTGTGTGTCTATCACACTCCAGTTGGGTATTTGGAGTCATTTTGAACCACACTCAATCCTGAGCTTCCTACAGATGCTCCTTGGCTTCATCCTGAGAAGTCCATTAGAAATTTAGAAATCATGGCAAGAGATGTTCAAGGCCTTCCTCGGCTGCACAGTGAGTCTGAAGCCAACCTGAATTACATGAGACCATGTCTCAAAGTCGAACAAATGAAAAGAACAGAACCAATCATTCTTGATGACACAATTCTTTGACATCATAGCACTGGCACAGTTCTTACAGCTGGAAGGAGTCTGCAGAACTGCTCCCCCGATGCGCTAACTCATCCTGACTCACATACATACTCTTATGTGAATGCTAACATTTGTGTTCCCAAGCTGCTTCTACTAGTGGCTATGTCTTTCAAAATGAGTACTGAAGCTGATCCTGCTGGCATATGCAGCTGGGGAGACAGAGGCAGGCAGATTTCTATGACTTCCAAGACAACCCGGTGCCCGGTCTACATAGTGAGTTCCCGGACAGTCAAGGCTACATATAGGGACTTTATCTTAAAAAATGGATTATGAGCTCCAGGTGATTTCTACTCTCTGTGCAGTTTACAAGAGTGCAACCAGATTTCCAGGTTCTGATCACAAGTCACAACTACCAGAATGTTTGCAATGGTTCTCAATCTGTGGGGCACAATCCCGTTGGGGTTGCGTATTAGATATTTACATTAAGATTCATAACAGTAGCAAATTTAGAGTTATGAAGTCGCATCAAAAATGATTTTATGATTGGGGTGTCACTACAACTTAAGGAACTGCATTAAAAGGTCGCAGCATTAGGAAAGCTAAAAACCACTGATATATAAAAATAGAAAAATGCCAGAGAAATGTTGCTCCCTAATGACCACATCCTTATATAACAATATTCATGGGACTTTTGTTTTGATAGTGGTAAGGATAGAACTTTGGGTACTAATAAATCTGAGGCAAATGCTCTAACACTGAGTTACATCCCTAGCTCTAAAATATTCTTATACAAAATATAGGATTACGTTTATGAAGTAAAAACATTCTGTCCTCTCCCTGGTGGAAAGTGTAGACTTATTCTAAAGGTTTTTAACAACTTAAAATAATTTTAAAGAAGTACTGAAAATTTGAAAATTCTATTTAACAATATATACATATACAAATTTATACATGGTTTTTACAAGAATATATGTATATAATAAAACAATAATTGACTAAAAATGAATGTTCATAAATTATATATATTTAAGCATATACCTATATCTGAGTTTATACAGCTATAGAGAAATTAATAAAGCTTATTTTATAAACTATTTATTGTTATTTTCTTAGATATACATAAATATATACTCATGTTCATATATACTCACATATAAAATATGCTCATATGTTGTATTATGTAATCTTTATGAATAGAGAGAGCAGGGAAGGAACATCACTATATAAAGGGAGTGCAAGGCTTGATGCTGAAAATCAACAAGAAATTATAGTTTTTAATCTTCATGGTACTTATACAGTAGGAGAAAAGTTTGTGAATCAAATAATAGGCAATAACTTCTGTGATGAGGTCATGAGGTAATGATGTCCATTCAAGTAAGTACATTTGCCAAAGAGGCTTAAATATTTTCAGAAAAAGTAGTTAACTACAAAAAATATACATCCTTATGGATTACTACAAAGGTTAAAATTATACCCACACCTAGAAAGGATACATAGTTATGAACAGAGTGATGAAGATAATTTATATTTATATATGTATATATCATGTTATGCTTTACAATATATTTTCTTATATATTTTGCAGTTTTGAGTTACCTGATGAAGTAACAAGAGTGTTGTACTTTCTTCTTGTAAGGAACAGATAATAAATAATATTGCAATATACAGCAGCATCTCTTGACTCATTTCTTTTTATGTCACAGATAATATTGCATCTTTCTGAATGAGGTCATTTTCTGCTTAATATAGATGAAAAATAATAGTAATAATGCCATCCCCAAATCTTCCAGATTAAGGAACCAAAACTAGTCTCCAAAACTGTGTTCATTTGGAAAGGAAAAAAAATGTTTGAAATTGTATTTTACTATGACTTGGGAAAGGAAATCAACCTTCAAGGCCTTCCATACTTAATGTTCTTTTACATTATTTTCAGTTGAAAAACAGAAATCTCGAACTGATCCCACACCATGCCTGGATGACTGGATTGGTTACCAACAAAACTGCTTCCATTTTTTTGAAAATACGATGACATGGGGAAAGAGCCAGAACTTCTGTGCCTCTCACAAAGCAACTCTCGCTGTATTCAACATCACAAAAGAAATGGTAAGACAATAGCAGTCATTTTTAGAGTTGCAGCTGGTCTATAGAAGACACTATTACAATAGAAATTAAAAAATGATGACCCATTACACAGCACAGGGGAGACTACTTTTTAAAAAAATATTGTTTAAGATAACTTACTTATTTTTATGCTGTTGGCATTGGTGTTTTTTCTGCATATATGTCTGTGTGAGGATGTCAGATCCCCTGGACCTGGAGTTACAGACAGTTTTGAACTGCCCTGTGGGTGCTGGGAATTGAACTCTGATCCTCTGAAAGAGAAATCTCTTAACCACAAAGCCATCTCTCCTAAGACCACTGTTTATATGAGCTAAATAGACTACAAAGACAGTATCTTTGAAAGTCAGAGCAAACCAACCTTCATGATACAAACGATTCATAAATATTGAAGTAACCTTCCTCATTGACTTTAGCTGGGAGTGAGGATGCTTAAGTATTATACCACATCCTATATAAATCAGCTTGTGTCCAACTACACATCAGAAAGACCAAGCTACTCATTAAAGAAGTCCAGTCACATAACTGGCTATTTTCGAAACAGAACAACAAAATTCAAAGAAAACCCAAAAGCACTTCCCAGAGTGCAAACTTCAGAAACCACAATAAAGTCCTAATCTTGAGTTGTTATTTACCTCTTTAAATGCAGATGAGAGCCTCTCAAGAATTTTTGTTGAAAACGATAATCAGTAATGAAGAAGTGTTTGACAGAAATACTGGAGACAATAACCCAGTCTAGTCAAAACCTGGGAAGCTTGGTGACACAGAAAGTATAGTAAAATTAAATCATGTAATACAACCCAATTGACAGAAATATTAGAAATGTAAGACATCAGAGGTGATGAGAGACAGGAAAACTAAGCACTCAAGGAGAAAATACAACCAAATAATAAATAAAGAACGATAACAGCAAAACTGTGGCCTAGGGAAAGAACTCAGTGTGTACAAGAGCTTGCCATAAACACACGAGGACCTGAGTTCAGACCCCAGAACTCATGTGTATTAGCTATTTTTCTAGTATTGTAATAAAAAAGCCATGACCAAGTAAACCTTTAAAAGAGAGTATTTTTAGGTGTTTGGTTCGAGAAGGATAAGACTGTGTCATGACAGGAAATCATGGCAGCTACTTACATCTTGAACCACAAGTAGACACCAGGGAGAGCAAACTTGAAATGGCTTGAGTCTACAAGTCCCAAAGACTGCCTCCATGAACCCATACCTTCTAAGCTTCCTTAGATAATGCCATCAACTGAGGAACAAATATTCAACTGCTGAAGACATTGGGAAGCATCTCAAATAGTGTTATCAACTGGTGACCAAGTATTCAAATTCTGGCTCCTGTGGGGACATCTCATTTAAAACACCATGCAAAGCCATGCATGACAGTACCCATGTGTAATCCCAGCTCCTCTATGGCAAGAGGGAATGCTGAGATAGGAGAGTCCCCAGTGCTCTAGGCCAGTTAGACCTAGACCATACACAAGAGCAAACAAGAAACCCTTTCTCCTACTACAGGGACTGATACCTAATGTTGTCTTCTAACTTCCACACACGAATTATGGCATGCATGCATCTGCACGTACACACACACACACAGACACACACAGACACTTACACAGTGACACACAAACACACAGAGACACACATACACACATGTCATATGCACAGACAGAAAGACTAATGTAGAAAATTTGTTTTTAATAAATAAAATTGATAGCAGAAATGGAGGAAAGATATACATCCCTAATAAAAAATTATGAGCCTTGAAGATTTAAAAGCACAAAATATTATAGATAACTTCACCACAAAATATTTTAAATTTTTAATATTTGTAATTGCATAAAGAATTTCTTAAGTAATAGTTTCTGACAACCTCTAGAACAAGAATGGACAAACTAATTCCATAAAGAGTAGAATATGCTGATTATCCTAACAAACTAAAGACAAAAAACGTCAGCTCAACAGCTATAATAAAGTAAAAGAAATGATGACAAAAAAAGATAGTCAAAAATTGCACCATTAATGAATCTAAACCTAAACCTAGCAACAATTGTGATAAACTGAGTCTATTTCACTCATTTAAATTTATTGATCTAAGCTTTTGATTTTACTTCAGAGAGAAAATCATCAAGATGATTCTTTAAAAACAACAACGTGGGGACTGGAGAGACAGCTCAGCGGTTCAGAGCATGTGTTTTTCTTACAAATGACTGGGTACAGTTTCCAGCACCTGCCTCAGGTGGCTCACCAGTACCTGTAACTCCATTTGCAGGGGAACTGATGCCCTCTGGTTTCCGCATATAAGGCACAAATATTGATGCAGGCAATCATACATACATATAAGAAGTAAGTTCGTAATCCTGTTTTAGAAAGCAACAAAGTATAGTGGCTGCTTACAGAGGCATCTGAACATGCACAGACACCCATTGGAAAGTTAAATTGGGTGATGGTGAAAGATAGCGCAATTCTCAGCAATTACCAAGCCATACTATAGCAACCACATTAGAAAATAAAATACAGCTGACTAAACTATAAGGCTACCTGGAATACAGAATTTAAATGAAATAGTAACCATTCAAGCCTTTCACCACTAACCAAAATTCTCCTGTAGTTAAAGGATCCAAAGTTACCAAACACACCAATCCCACACAGAACAGATGATCTCTACCTTATAAAAAAATCTTCTAGCTGGAAATGTTTTTGTATATTAAACATATGAGCCAAGTGAAAGCAATGCAATGTGATCCCTAAGGTCTTTCCCGAACAAATCTGCCCATAATTCTATAACAAGTGCAGTGAATAAATTAAGTGACAATTTGAGATAATAAGGCATTTGATGATGTGTGTCCTGTAAATACTTTTGACTGAAGGACTTCCTGAAGCGATATGCAGACCTTTCTCATTATTGGATTGGACTGAGTCGAGAACAAGGGTCAGAGTGGCAGTGGGCAGATGGAACCATATACAATAGTAGGTAAGTTCTAGTTCACATACTAAAGCCTTGACATAAGTCCTTCCCTATTACAGGGAATGCCATTCTCTTTGTAAGGAAGTCTAAGCAGGCAACAAAGGGGAAAGTAGTTATTATTAATATGGTAATTTAATACTTTCAGTGCACAACACACATTGATTCCTAATCAGTATGTATTTTGACTTGAACAGATATACCAAGAGTGAATAAGTTCAAGTCCATTTTGTAAGTGAAACCCCTGACCCTGTAGATATTGAATACACAATATTCTGTAACACAAAATATTTGACAAGTCCCACCCTTTCCACAATATATAGGCTTTATGGATTTTGTTATGGTTGAATAAAAATCAGAACAGGATCACTCAAGGTATGATTAAGGAGAAGAATTTTATTGTAGATATGAGGCATCTGGAAAGGTCCAGATCAAACACGGCCAACAGAATATGAGAGGAGGAAGGATGGTAGAGAGCAAGAGTGGAAGAAGAGAGAGAGAGGGAGAGAGGGGGGGGGCGGGGGGGAGGGCAAGGAAGAAGCTGGGAGAAGGTAAGGGAAGCCCAGCCCCTGGCTTGGAGAGGTATAGCTCAGGGGGGCGGGGTGAGAAGTGCTGGAAGGAGCCATGAGTACCGTCCAGGGTTTTTTTGAGACCTGAAAATGGTGATGTTTCCATGTACAAAAAGTGACGTTTTAAGTCAGAAAAAGGATGAATTCATCTTAATTGGTAGCTAATTATTATTGTGCTAAAGGGTAATAGATATTTTTCTCTGACACTTGCAATTAGCGTTTATTAATTTTGTGGCCTGTTCTCCCTGTATTTTTTTCCAGGCTTAAGATCGCCGGGAACGGTCAATATGCCTATCTACACAAAAACGGCATCGGCAGCTCCAGCAGTCATCTGTTTAAAAAGTGGATTTGTAGCAAATGAAATGTCAATTCCCAAAGAAACTGAAATCTCGTAGATTTAAAACATTCTCTATTAAATGTAGCTTTAATTCTCTCTGAAAAAGATTCTATTATTATGAGTATGCATGAAATTCATGCTTAGACTTTTTCATTCTTGTCTCCTTTCAGATTTGATTTTTAAATCTGGTTTTGATAAATCTGTCCAGTTCTTGACTTGTAAGATGACTCTGTCGTATCCTATTTAAAAGCGGCTTGGCCTGAGGATAGCTCAGTGGTAGAGCACATACTTGCTTAGTATGTGTGAGGCCCTGAATCCTACTTCAGGGTTAGACATATACACATTCCAAATCTCATTGGTGAATGAATTTTCATACTTAGTATATTAAATATGAATGGAAAATTCATATTTTAATATATTCAATGTGTATATTAATTCTTTGAATTGATTTGAATTTAAACTGAATTGAAACTAATCTCACATATAATTACTTCTCAGGAGCTCTAACTCTCCTAGATTTGGAGGGTTTTCTCCTTCCTTTTATGAGCAATACTAGCAGTTAGCTATCTTTTATTTTTGTATTTGCATTATTTTATTAATGCAACCCAAGTATGTAGTGTAATTGATACACAGAAACTTTACAGAAAACAAAATTTTGCACCTAAGTTGCCTGTGTGAGGCCTGCCAGCCTGTGAGTAACCAGTCTGAATTAGCACCTCCCTCTCCCTACCTGTGACTGCCCAGGGTCTGTCTCCCGATGGGCCCTGTGAGTGGTAATGCTCTGGTGAAGACCTTTAAGTGTGTAGTTGGATCTTCACTGTTCGAACTTCTCCAATGTTTGAGGGTCGGTGTCAAATGTCAGCCTCTTCAGAGGATTTCATGTTCACTAAGGTTAACACTGTTGCTCTACAACACACAAGCCTTTCTTAATGTCATTGTGAAGCTGGTGACATACATCCTCTGAGTGGAATTTAAATTGTGATGGGACGCAATGCAGAATGAGGCAAGAGCTACCTTCGCCTTCTATTGCAGAACTCATCTCAGCCTCTGTCTCTCTACTCTTTTCACTTTCATTCTTACTTTCTGTTTCTCTCTGTGCTTCCGACATCCCCGCTGCTACAAATGTTCTTTCGATTATTTCATTCTCAAAATGAATAGAGAAAATTGCTGTTCACAGTTAAGTAGGTTTCAAGTAAGTAAGAGACTAAAAAAATATAGTGTCTTTTCTAACCATAACCCACCAAATGCAAGCAATAAAACTCAGGATTTTCTTCCTTGGATCTTTATGCAATCCAATTATATTGCGTTATTACTCCACCATCCTCCTGTGTCAAAAATAAACTAATAGCTATAAATGGTTGTGATGGAATCTTAGAACCAAACTTGTAATTACTTCAGAAAAGGAGAGACTAGATAAGTGTACAACTTTGGTAATTGATACCAAATACTACAAGATGCACAAAAACAAATGTATTAGGCATGAGAAGAGGTTAGTGCAGAACAGAATGAAAGAGCCATAAAAATTATTACTGGAAAAATATTTTCAGATGGATAAGTAAAGAAAGAAAGGAATTTTTAGGCAGACATGGTAGCTCAGGTCTATAATTCAACACTAGGGAGGTGAAGGCAGGGGGATCTTAGGTTCGCAGTCAGTTGGTGCTATGTAAAAATAACTTAGGCAGAGAGGCAGAACAGGAAAAATAGGACAAATACATTTCTCCACAAAAAATTCTCACCAGAAGTGTGACAGCAGAGTGAAAGGAGCATGTGATGTTTTGCACAATTTAAAAGTTATGCTAGTCTCAAAACCTTGGAATGATAGAGAAAAGTAAGCAGGATGGGAGCAGATCTTAGATATGAATGCAATCAAAGAGGATGAGAGAAACAAGGAAAAAATTATATCCTTAGTTTGTGTCTTCAGTTTATCAAATGAATACCAGCATTGTTAGCTGACACAGAAAGGAGGGGTACTGAGACAAGCTGAGTTTCAGAGGGTTGTGGATATACCTTCTAGAAATTCAACCAAAAGCAAAAGGTACAGCCACAGAAATAAGGGAGCAGTTCAGAATGGACACATGAGACAAACATTATGAGAGTTTCAGGGATGTAAAAGAGCAAACCTGTGGGATGAGAGGAGAGAGGTGGGGCAGGGACAATGAACAAGCAGCCATCACAATCATTTCCTCACGGGGGGCGGGGGGAGAAAGAAAGAAAACCTTTCTTCTTACACATAAACTTACTCCCTTATTTTCTTTTATTCTTTGTTTCTGTATCTAGCTTTTAGCAGGGATGGGTGGGTTGGGAGTGCTTCTTTGGGTCTTGTCTTTTTTAAGCTAAATTTGTGCATAGACTTGCATGAGTAAACAATACTGACTTCAGATGGAAGAGCGCATCCCCACACATCTGTGGAAGTAGTAACTAACAGCGCTGTACCATTTAGGAGATTGCTCTAACACACTGTTGGATCTGTGATAACACTCATGTTGAGTAATGGCTGAACACAGTAAGAAAATATGTAGATGGCTCTAAACGTCCTTTGGCTTATAGCTTGTAATTCATAAGAGTATTTTGTTATTGGTTTTGAAGATGGAGAGATCATGTCATGAATCCCTCTGTACAACCTATGGTTTAAACAGCACCTCGTGCTGGCTCATACTTGTCGACATAGACTTTAAAATGTTGACGCCTGCTTGTTAACCAATACTAAAATAAAAGCTTAAGGAACAAATTGAGACTTTTGCTTATTATTTCAATAAAATCACAAATATCCCCACATAGTTATTGAAGGAAATTGTGGAAAATTTTACCTGTAAATATTTATCACTAAGAATCTGGAAAGGTGTGTCTAAGTGTTTTAGCTTTTGATGCTCTCAGGATGAAGTCAGGGTTGCAAAATGGATTCTTTTCCTTTACTGATTTAAAGAATTAAAAGACAGGAAGAGCAAGATCTCAGAAGCCAGCCAAATTTTATTCAAATGAAAAGTGCATAATGCGTATGCACACATGTATATATATATATATATATATACACAAGCACACCCAGAAAGTGCACACATGCACACATACATGTGCCATGCATGTGAACACAATCAAATGGGAAACAATAGAAAGTCCAGAAATCTGTACACATCAGATAATGATTTTGAAGTAATATACCACAAATGTACTCTGTAGAAAAAGACATTGTCTTCAGTGATGTTGGGAGAAAATGAATTAAATATTCAGAAAAATGGAAATCTTTATCGCATGTCAAATTTAAATAAAAACAGTGGGTTAAGAAGTAAAACTGTGAAGCCTCTGGACGAGCACAGAAAAGCCTCTGCCGCACTGGCTTACAATGTGCAGCTCCTATTCTAGCTTTTCCGTGGCTTTGGTGTTGCTTTACGTTTGATTTTCTTTCTTTTTTGTTCAGTCATCACCTTAAACATCACACTCCAGTTTCTTCAGCCTCTGAGTGTGGAACTGCAACAATCACACTCCAAGGAACTTGCAGAGTTTCTGTCTCGGAATAGGTCTCCATTATTGGTCCCTCTTGCTCAGGAGCATCTAGATTTTGAACTGGCTGTCCCAGCTCTCTTTCCTGTAGGTATAGAAAATCTAACCTCTACTCATGTGAGTCAATCTCATAAATTCTCACTTAGAATTGTGTGTTTTCTTGTTCCTTTCTTCTCATAAACAGCCTTGAATAATACAAATAGACAAAAAATAGGACAATATACAATACAAATATCATTCACTGACTAGGAAGAGGAGGAGAATGAAAGGAAGGAGGTAGAGGAAAAGGAGAAAATGTTTACATAAAAATCAGTGTTTGTGACTTAAATATTAACTTTCTGTTATTCTCTTCTTACAACTTTTTTTCTATCATCTTTTCTCACATTTATCAAATATCCACCTTAATAAATGGTGCATAGTTTTTCACACTCGTGTGGCTTTATGGATTGTCTTGTATTTAATTGTGTGTGTGTGTGTGTGTGTGTGTGTGTGTTTGTACCATATGTGTGAAGGAAAGTAGAGAGTGGAAGTGCGAAAGCTCACCCCTTAGCCCCACGAATGCTTGGGGTGTGGTTCTTATGAGATAACAAGTCATGTGTTTTCACCTCAATAAACTAGGTTGATTGTCACAACTGCACCGGATGTTGGAATCACATGTAGGTTGGAGATGCATAAGCAGGAAGTATATCAGAATATATGTTTACTCCTGATTGGATGAAGGCGGGAAATACCATAGTGTTGTGGGAGTTTACTTTTATGAGCTCCTGACTGACCTATATCCAGGACCATGTCTCTGAGAATCCCGGGTATGTACATGACCAGAGTCCATTTTCCTGGCAAGAGCTAGAACTCGCTTTAATTGGATAATTGTGGAACCGGTTTTTCTCCTCGCAATTCTCAGGTTCAACATTTGGAATTCCCTAGTGAAATCATATCGTTCATTCACATTTTGAAGCTGGCCAGGGCTCCCAGAAAGGCAATCCAGGAGGCCTTCCCCTTGGAATTCAAAGATTCAGGATTTACCGTTCAAAAAGAAAATAGCATGTTTTTCTTATTCACGGCTGCCCCCTTCTGGTAAGTCATAGAAATCGTCTAGCTTTTTCTGTGTCATTTGGTTTCTGGTTCTGTGGGATCACAACCTGGGGACCTGGGGGCGACGAGAGGCAAATATTTCTCTGTCCAAAGAAAAGTGAAACATCACGTGGCCCTTTGGTTATTTCTGGTTAACTGGGAGTCCGGCCAGGGTCACCAGTTACTTTCCTGACCTGCTTTGAGATCCTAGCAAAGCCTTGAAGACTGGGTACTGAGAATAAACTTGGAGGGGCCAGCACCTGAGTATTCACTGGCTGGGTTTCAATACCTATTCTGTACAACACAGTTGAGGAGCCATAAGGACATTTCACAACTCTGGGGGGCAAGCAAAGGTTTTGGAGAGACCCAGCATAGGATGTCAGGTCTTCCAGGAGACAAGGAGATCTCAGAAATGTCAGTGTCTGGATTGTGTGGGAATGCTACTGAGGAAAAATGGGGGTCTCCTATTTGTTAAGAAAATTCTTTGGTCAAACTGGTGAATCTCTGAATGATTACAATTGTTGATGTCATTGTCTTGTGTTTCCTGTTGTAATTTTTGCTCTGAGCCTTGTCTTGTGTTTTATCTGTCTTCATGTGCTACCAAAGAAGGGAACGTTTTGTCTATAAGGTGTGTGTTTGTGTGTGTGTCTTTGCTTTCTGATATGCCTATAAGTTTTGTGTTGTAAACACGGGGCTGAGGAAGAAATGGGTCATGTTTGGTTGAATGAATGAATTATTTGTGTCTTTTGTTTCTGACTGGTCTCCTTTATGTATGAGCTTCCATGAATTCCATGGCTTCTTTGATGACTGAGGCTCAGAATTTAACTCTGAGCTTTCTGGTCACTAGATTTAGTTCAGTGGGGGTTCAAATGACTTTTGGATATGGATAATAGTAAAGTTGTTTTATGTAGTTCTTACTTTATTGACAATCTGTAGGTAAAGTTTTTCTGTCCTATAAACCAGCTCCCAAATAACCACACAGAGACTTATTAATTATAAATCCTGGACAAATAGCTTAGGTTTATTACTAATTAGCTCTTACAACTTAAATTAAGCCATATTCTTTATCTATGCTCTAGCACGTGGCAGTACCTTTTTTCAGCACAGCATGTTCTTCTGTATTCTCTGCATCTGGCTGGTGGCTACTTGTGACTCTACTCTTCTTCTTCCCAGTGTCCTCTCAGTCTTGATCTCCCACCTAATTTCTTCCTTACTAACTATTGGCCACTTGACTCTTTATTAAACCAATGAGAGTAATACATGTTCATGGTGTACAAAAGGATTATTCCACAGCAAATATCTGGCTCTGGAATTGGGTTATGTTTCTTCCCTTTTCAGACCAGGAGTGTTTTAAAGGTCTCTATGTCTAGGGTCAGAGGATCCACCTGATGCAGCGACAGGGAGAAGAGAGCAAAGCAGAATAACTAAAAAAGATTGTTGGTTCTATTTAATTGTCTAAGATATTTACTAAGATATAAACCTTATCTATAGAATTGTAAGTTTACTGAGAATGCTTAAATATCTTTAATATGTGTAACAAAAAAAAGTTAATTCAGTAACACAGGGGTGATAGTTTAAAAAAAAAAAGTCCATGCTTAGGTAATCTTAAAGGAACCACGTGGCGTGATGCCATTTGGGGACATAAGCTACATGTGATTTCACCACCATCTTTAGGCAGTCACATGTCTGGCAAACATCTTTGCTAGGGTTGGAGAAGATGAATGTCATGCGATTTCATCGCCATCTTGATTAAAAATGATCACATGATGTGGGTCAACCAAGGTGACAACATATTTTGGATTAGGATGGTTTTTTGTATGATAATTCCTATCTTGAAAACAAGGTTTTTGAAAGGAAGGATTTAAAAATAATGCTTGTTTAATAAGGCATCAAGCATCCATGCTTTCATATACATGAATGCACCTCATGCTGACAGTCAAACTTTATAATGTAAGAGTCACCCAAGTGGTATTGGTTTAAGATATGAAGGAATCATGGAGAGCACCTGAGACTTGGCATTGTGTGGAAAGGCTAGAATTCCTAAAGAGAACCTAGTTTCAGTGGGGACCCGAGATACATGTGCCATGTGACAGCCACCAGAAACCCCAGCCCCAATGAAAAGAAGCCATTTGGGTCCTTGAATACAGGCTGTGTATGTTATTGATGGTCGGGCCACAGAGGTGACCTGAGCCCCTGACAAAGCACAGAGGATTATGAATGAAACCCAGATATTGAACATTCTTGTTTGCACTGCTGGAGCTTGATTTTGCCTGGTGCAGATAATAGTTGTGCCCTGCATCTTCCCTCTTGAAGTAAAAAAGTGTACGTTTCTTTATTAAATTGCAGGAGCACACAGTTGAGAGATTTTAAACTTCTTTAAGAGGAAAATTTTGGAGTTTTACAACTTAATCTTTAAAAAACCAGATTTTTTTTAAAAGAAAAACTTTTAAAAAAATTTTAAATTTGTGAAGTTATGGAATTCTAAGTTTATAAAATGTTTTATGTTATAATGTTTTTATTCATATGTTATCTTAAAAGATAAACAAATAAAAGGTTGAATAATTAAGGCAACAGCTGTGAACATCAAAAATGAAACACCAGAAATTGGGATGTTCCTATCTTATCATGCAGCTTGGCATGACCTAAACAGTCTGGAAAAGAGTCCCTCATGGCCTAAAATATATTCAGGCTATTAGAGACAGCTGCTTCGGACTTCCCCGCATGTTTCTGCATAATTTCTCTTCCATATTTATAATAAACCTATTCTTTAAAGTGCCCGTGGAGCAGTGTCATTCAGTGGTTTCACTGGGTCCCCACTTATAGCTTGTTTCTTTATTTGTAAGTCAGAATTGTTGAAACCAGACAAATATGTGCACAGCCAGTCAATGCTGACTAAGGAAACAGTACAACATGCTGCAAATCGTTTCCTTATTTACCATTTACATGACAAATGCCTGGTCCCTCACAAAGATGAGCAGTACTGATGATAGTGGGCTTGGTAGTTTCAGAAATACTGTAATTAAACAAGTAAGATACAATATATATAGGGTGTGACAATAAAGTGGCTACAGGAAACTTAAAAATATGTATCAAATCCACATAATTTAATCTGGAGTGGAAACTGGTCAAAGCAACATCCCTTGCCAAATGGTATGTGATAGCCTGAACAATAGAATAAAATTAAATGTGGCCTGAGTGTATGGCTCAGTGGTAGAATGCTTGCCTACAGTGTACACGTCACTGGGTTCATTTCTCAGCTCTAACAGAATAAATACAGTTAAACAGACAAATAGGAAGAATGTTAAACTCAGACAGACAAATGTGATCAGGTTAACTTCTGTAAGGAGTAAGAAGTGAACAAAGCTTAGTGTTATTCCATTATAATAAATACAGGCTGGGAAGTAGGGGACAATGAGGTGATGCCACAAAATCAAGGGGCTGGAAAAACAGAAAGACCCTAAGCGTTAAACAGCAGGCAGCATAGTCTGATGTGAGGTTTAGAGAAGCTGTAGCGAGAGTGGCTATCACAGTCTGTCTCAGAATCATCCAGTACTGGGAGAGGATGTCACGGTATGTCTTAGCACCATCCCAGTATTGAAGGTGAACTGTCACAGTAAGTCTTAGCAACATTCCAATATTGAGGATGGATGTCATGGTATGTCTCAGAGCCATCCCAATACTGAGAGTGAATTTGGCAAACAAAATATAATTGAACAAAAAAGACTCTCCTTGAAACCCAGAACAATAAACTGGGTGCAAATATCATAAAGACAAATCAAAAGTAATCTAATTTGTAAGAGTCAAGTGAAGTTTAGAAGACTGAGGGAGAAAGGAGGGCAAAGTCATGGTGTACTTCAGTGTACCAGTTAACGAATACAAGGCGAACTTCTGAAATGTACTGAACTTTAGTAACAGGGAAGACTGAAAGCTCCTGAGAAACCCATACAGACATGTCCAATTGACAGTCATTTAATAAGGTCCAGTTTGGAAATGAGGGCATGGAGATAATAAATTGATGACATTATGAATGATGATTGAACCGATGAGTTCAATCATCGGTTGTGTGTATTAGTGAGCCTAGGCAAAACTCTGCAGAATCTCCATGCTTGAGAGAGCAGAGAAGAAAACCCACACAGGAAATGTTGCAGTGACAGACAGAAATGTGCCATAGCCAGCAGGCTAAGATTTCAAGCTGGAAGGTTGGTTAATATTAAGCAGAGCTGCTGAGAGCTCCAAAAATCTAGAGAGCCTTCACTGCACTGACCTGGAAGTCAGCTGCTGGTGGCATGATGAAAGTATTTTACTGAAACAGGTAAAGCAGAAACCAGGTTTTAAGGAAACTTGAAAGAGGAGGGAGACAGTGGAAATCACATGCCTTCCTATTTTTCAGGAAGTTTTTCTTAAAAAAGGTGGGAGAGCCTGAACAAGAACCAGAAGCCACATGGGTTACAGGAACGTTTTCTTGTAGCCCCTGTAGGTTTGGTCACAATAGAAAGGGTGTGAGAAAGGGGATAGAAGGAAAAAAAGAAGGGGTCTCCTAGGAAAAATTTAAAATGCCAAAATTCAAATTACAGACTACAAATTTGATTTAATCAGAAAAAAGAGAGACAACTTTATTCACAGTAAGCACAGGAAAAATAAGAAGCAGCCAGTTGTGCATACAAAGTGGTAAAAAGTTTCAGAAATCATCTACTGGTTGCCTTTATTCCTAAAATAAAATGAGATCTTTCACAGGATGTGAGTGGATTGGAGAAAGGTTTTCTCTAAAGTAACCACTGTCAAGAATGATGATGAGATATCGTGTCAGGGACAAGAGGTGACCACAATAATCAAATGAGACTTACTGCATGTTCACATTTAAAGACATATATTTACACGTTATTAGAATTACCATACACTAAAGAGAAAGAGATAGTAGGATATCTGTGAATTTGAGGCCAGCCTAGTCTACATGAGTTCCAGAACAGTCAAGGCTACATAGTGAGACCTTGTTTCACTTGTCTGGGGGGAAAAATACAGATCTCCATAGTAGCTGATTCTTTTCTAGTAAGAGAAATAGCTATGGTCATTCAAATGTCATCCTCTGTACATGAATCTTGACAAATCCAATAATTGTGAATGAAACACTTTTCTGAGAAAACACCCTTCTTTGTTATCAGGTCACAGGCCTTGTCTTCAACCTGGCCTGTGACTTGAAATCTGCAGAGGAAAAGCCCACACATTAGTGACTCACAAAAGGGCTGGGATCCACCCCAGATGCCCACTCTCTGCCACAGTCTGACAGTGTTTTGTGTTTTCCTTCCGCTCCAAGGTAGAGACTTCAGATATTGCAATGTTCAGACAGGAAATGAACTTTCAAATATTTGAGCCAGATGGCCTGGAGTGCTGAGCGGCACAATAGAAGTGATAAGAGAGACTCTGCCTCAACATAGGAGAAACCACTCCTAATGGTTGTCCTTTCACGTGACCACTGTGGTGTGCATGCATGCACCACACACACACACACACACACCCCAATTATAAATAAATATATATTTTGCAAATAAAAAGTAAATCAAATTATTAACCTTTTCTTCCAGACCCAAATCCCAAATCCCAAATGTCACACATTTAAAACACCTTCCTTCCTTGCTTTGAAAAAATTCCTTGATAATAATAATAATAATAATAACAACAGAAAAATAAGCCTGCTCTTTGGTATATTGTGAGCATGCTAAAGATAGAAATACCAGTTTCAGACAGGGCTGAGGGAAGGGTTAAGTGAAGAAACATCCCCCATGCCTTTGTTCCACAGTATTCAGACCAATCTTTGCTATCTTAGGTAAACAAGTGACAAGACAATTTCATGACTACAGTACATAATCTTGGCTATCAACTTGACACATCTGGTAAGAGGGAACTTCAACTGAAGAGTTTCCTCCATCAGAATGGCCCATAGACTGTTCATGGATCATTTTCTTGATAATTGATGGAGGAGAACCTAGACCACTGTAAGTGTTGTCACCCCTGGGCAGGAGGTCCTGGGGTGTATAAGAGAGGTAACTGAGTAAGCCATGGAGAGCAAGCCAGTAAGCAAATTTCCTCCATGACCTCTGCTTTAGTTCCTTCCTTCGAACTCCTGATATGCTTGATTGAACTCCTCCTCTCTGGGCTTCTCTCAATGATGGATTTGGTCGGGAAGTGTAAATCAAATAAATCTTTTCTTCTCCAAGTTGTTGTTGGTCATAATGTTTATCACTGCAAGAGAATGCAAACTAGAATACGTTGATTATAATTTTCTATTTTTGACTTCTGTATTATTAAATTAAATGGAGGTCTAAATAGGACCATACACTATTTTAGGAGCCTCTGGTTCTCTAAGACAAATTTTATAAATCTTTATATTTTAACAGGCATCAAACTTTTCCATCCTACAATAACCTGACCATTTGAAGCTCTTGAGCGCTACCAGTTGGGTGGTCTATGGAGGTCTCACATATCCCCACAAACACCAAACACTCACAGCTGTGGGTGTAGCGGTGTGCCATCCAGCCAGGTCCATGTTTTCTGCGTGTCTGGAACATTCAATCCAATCCAAAAGTAAACTCCATCATGTATTTTACTCTGGATGAAATCCTGAGAAAAGAGACACAGAGGGAATCATCTGGATGTCAATTACGATGAGAGACACTTCTGATTTCTTATGCCCAAATCTAAAAGGATTCTGATGCTCATATTTCCAGCCAGGAAAATTGTAAGAAGTCTTGTGTATTTTTAGGAAAAGAAATCATATGTAGGGTTTTCCAGCTGTGTGACTCTCGTGTACATTCTGTTTGGTGAAATTAAGGATGTTACAGATAGCAGTCAATGAAAGGGTACAGAGGAGACCAAAGGAAGAAGAATGAGACTGCCTAAAGGTGACAGAGATTCAGTCTTTGTATCAGTGAAGAGACAGGCAAATCAAAACTTAACAACTCTTCTAACTAAAACACTACCAAGATTCTAGACATACTGCCAGGAATTGGCAATGTTTTACATTTAATTTACTTGAGTCTAACTTTTTGAGAAAGGGTCTTACTGTATAGTCTAGACTAGCCTCAAACTCACCTATCTCATTTTTTTTTTAACCTCAGTCTCCCAAATTCTGGGATTGCTGGTGAGCACTCCTACAGCTGGCTAAATTGGGAATGTTTTGATGGGTCCTTTGAACTCCTCTTTTCCTCCATGCAGGATTGCAGTATTGATAGTAAGTTATCCTAAGAAGCTGGCTGTGCCACTTTTCTATAGAGCAACATAATAAGCTCATGCCCCTGGGGAAGCTGTGTAATATTCCTGTGTCTATAGGGAACATTCTGTCTCACAAATTTTATCTTAGAGCAAATTAAGACAATAGTGTAAAATGCATTGCATAGTGCGTAACACATGATTGGTATTCAACAAATGACAGTAATTAACAGTAAAATAGTCATACTATCATAAAATGCACCCACACCTGGTCTACCGAGGACTAAGTTCCATGAGATTGACTCTTACCAATTCTGCCTTGTCCTGGATCACTAAGAGATGTGATTTATTTACTGCACAGGATATTTTACTGTCAGTCCATGACTTAAAGTTCATGTAAAATTTGTAACATTTCCCTTGTTTCTGGAACCAGTCATCAGGGCATGACTTTGCTGGAAGGAAAAAAAAACAACATGAGAAGAAATAGGAATGAGAGAAAAGTTTTAAGACCAGAAACAAATGTTACATTGTTTTTAACTTTAAAAGGAAAAACCGAAGGGTCTGCAGAAATGTCTCAGTGGTAAGAGCACTTGTTGCTTTTCCAGAGAACCCCAATGCAATATCCACTACCCATGTGGCAGCTGTAACTCCAGTTCCAGGGGATCTGACGCATTTTTCTGGCCTCTGTAGACACTGTACACACATGGCACACATACAGGCATAAGATTCATACACATAAAATAATAATAAAGGGTTTTTTGGTTTGGGTTTTTTTTTTTAAAAATAACAACCTTGCCTCATTTTTAGTGAACAAAACTCCCTTCTTACTTTCCATTAAAGATCAGTCCTTAGAAGAGGTAAATGCTAACACATCACAGTTGTATTTATTAAATAACTACTACATATGAAGTTTTTTCCCAGATTCTGAAAGCATATGAATGTATGAAATATATTCCCTGCAAAGAAAAAAAAACTTAGACAGGTATAAAGTTATTAACTTCATATTCTTCATTGTGTAAATAAAGACAGTAAAGTTAAACTTAATAAAATAAAGAAAAACTGAAGTTTAGATAGCTGACTCGGGTCATGCAACTGGTGGGTGGAGTGAAAAATTAAAGTAACAGCAGCACATCTGAGCAGACGGCCGAAGAGATCAGCAGGACAAGGGTAAATTCTCCACAACTCATGCTCTCGGTCTTAAACCCAGGCATTCTAAAACAGTGGCCAGAGGATGAAGTTTGTCTCCTGCCACTATCAATATCTGACAAATTCACCTAAAGAAATCTTTACTTACTTTTTTAGTGTGTGTGTGTGTGTGTGTGTGTGTGTGTGTGTGTGTGTGTGCTTGTGTGTGTACTTGAGTGCATGCATGCTCCACAGCCCACATAAGGAGGACTCATTCTCTCTTTCACCACGTGGATCCCAGGGACAGAATTCAGGCTGTCAGGCTAGGTGACTGGTACCTTTACTGCTGAGCCATGTGACCAGCCAAGAAGAACAAATTTTAATAGTAGAGTTCATAAAAAATATTGTTAATCTCTTTACAATAGAAAATCAGTCTTTGAGGTTTTGAAACAATGATCAAAGGGTGTTAGAAGGAGACACATAGACTCCGGCTGAAAAGTGCGGTGTTGTATGATATTTTGTGTTCTGACAAATAAAGCTTGCTTGGAGTTACAGGTTGGAGCTAGCCACTAGTTAACCATGGAGGTTTGGAGGACTGTAGACAGAGAGAGAGGAAGTGATAAGGCAGGACAGAGAGAGGATCTCAGCTCTTTTGGAGGGAGGAATGGAAGAGATAGGAAGGCACTGGTGGCTTCTCCTTGGCTTCTCTGATTATTCAGGTTTTTATCTGATATCTGATTTTTTTCATGTTAGTATACAACTTTATTTAGGACATCATAGCGGGAAAGTTTCCAGCTAAATGTACAGACAAGCGAGGACTTACTGGGTTAATGCAGAAGCCAATGAGTTACATGGGTCTTACTATGGAGGACACAGCACCAAGGTTGTGGGTCAGACCAGAACAGAGTCCTAGGCTGATGCTGCTTTTCCATAGTGGGGCATGGTTTCAATATTTGTATTGTTTTAGTAATGTCAGGGAAACAAATGAAAAACTGGAACCAGATTCTATTACATCTTGATGGATAACGTCTTGCGCACAAACACAAATCCAGGGCATTCTAGCAACACTGCCACAGGCAAAGAAAGCCTGCTTCTTCCTCACTGCTTTCTTATTTTCACTGATGCCTGAACTCCCATCTTTGAACCACGAATGACGAAAGCCTCAGATACACAATGAAAGTGTCTCAGATGTCAAGAGCTGTGGCTGAGGAGCAACAGGCATCTCTGGTTAGCTATCCAAAGAAGAGTTAGATAAACTCTTCAGTGCTGAGGAAGAAGTTATTTTCAAAATTCTCTTTCAATACATAAACTATCTTCTTAATGGACTGCAAAAACATTGCAAAATAATTTAGCCTCAGAGGCCACTAAATTTATCTCCTTGAAAAGGAAAACTTAAGTATTAAAATAAAACAATATTCAGAAATTGTATATATGTTTTAATTGAAATAATTATTTATCTTTTAATCTAAGTCACAGATATATAAAATTGTGCTTTACTTAAATTTTAGTTACTTTTATTTTCTAAGAGTGAATATTTTTAAGTGTTCACAAATATTTTTATAAACTTGATACATGAAAAAGAGGATTAACGTAAAAACAGAATGTACCAAAAAATTTGAAAGTAAACTCTACGCAAAAAACTAGCTATTGAGATCACAAAATTTTTCCTAAAGAAATGTAGAAATGTACGTGTTTTTCTTGTTTTTGTTTTTGAGACAAGATTTCCCTGGGTCCCTCAGACTGGCATAAGACATTTGGTGATCCTCCTGCCTCAGCCTCTTGAGTGCTGAAGAAATCTATAACTGTCATAAAGGGCTTTTGGAGGCCAGCAACATGCTTCAGTCGGTAAAAGTGTCTGTCACCAAGCCTTCCAATTTGAAAGAAGAAAACAAAGCAAAGCAAACAAACAACAATTCCTACAGGCTGTCTTTGAACCTTCACAAGTACATCTTCGCACGTGTATCCACACACACACACATACATGAATACACACACAAACACACACATACACACGAGGAACCGTGTGAATTCTAACAACTTTTTCTTTTGTAATTTTGTCTTTTGTCAGCTTAATTTGCTTGGATCCCAAAACAGAAGCTGAAAGGATAGAGGTAAATACTTCCCTTCTTAAAATGCAGTGAAACAAATCACTTACCTGTGGAGTTTATTTTGTTCTGTTGTTTCCCAGGAGAGCTATCCATACAGCCACAACGTCTGGTTTCATTGTTACCAAGTATCCCCTCATTATGCTTCTCACTTAAGGATATACTCAGATGACTTACTGAGAAGTAAAAGAAAGAAAAAATACAATGCTAATTATATTTCTACACATATAAGTCTGCATCCCTTTATATTATTAAAATTTCTATTGAATACACAAATTGCTTCTCAAGAAGGGATCTGATAAATAATATCTCTACCTTTTAAAAGGACATGTGAATTTAGAGATGAGGTTTCTTCCTGCCAAGACTCATATAGAGACACAAAATATTATCTAACTCAAATTAAAATAGATAAAACAAACCTTTTCCCTACCCATATTAAAGAATAAGAAAGTTAAATTCTCCTTATATTTCTTAAAATGTACTAATGTGATGGATTGGAATTGTATGTGAGCTTAAGCTAGTCATAGGATCATTACACCACTCAGTGTCTTCATGGTAAGCACTTCACAAACTCCTAGGGTTCTCTTGAGACCTAAACATATTATAAATCAGTTATTTGTTACAATTCCAGACAAGTGGTATCTGCGAATGAAAGCAATAACAAATGCAATTGTACATTCTTATTTGTGTGCTGTTGGCTTTAGCAATAGACCTTGAATTTGATTTGGACCTAACTTTTCAACTAGCTGATAAGTTTTGTTGCAAGTTTCAAAACATTCAATTTTGTAATATACTTAAAGGGTAAAGCCGACTTCCATAAAACTTAAGTTCTTTCACTAAAATCTACAACTTCATCTCCTAGAAGACTTACGGACAAGTTCACATACTTACCAATTAGTTAAAATTAAGGCAGGATAGATATAAGACATAAGAATAGGGTATCATTAGTGATCACAGTGGGATCATTTCATGTCAACAGAAGTAAAGTCATGATAAAAAAAATACATCACAGGGTAAAATGCAAAGTGATTTTATAACTTTGGAGAGAGTCAGGGAAGCACCTCAGGAAATACTCTGGTCTCCACATCTGGGTAGGTAGCTTTGAGGGCACTCACTGTGGGTGACAAGTCCTATCACGGTGGCTACCAAGAAAACCAGTGTCATGCCGGCCAGTCTCAGAGCTGTCTGATGCCATCTTGGACACTCGGGGTAATCTGTAATGATGAAATATTTTTCTATAGCATTAAAAAAATTAAATATACAAATATACTTTTAAATGTGTCCCAACAAGAGAAAATCTTGAGAGTACACACTGTCTAAAGACAGGAAAGGAACCTATAATCTGTTAAATGGTGAGGCAAGTGTGTATGGCAACTCATATCTGTAAATCCCACATCCAGGAGGTTCAGACAGGAGCATTGCCCATTGTCATGTGTTCATGGCTAGCCTAGGATAACAGAGTAAGACTGTCTCAAGCAAACAAGCAACAACAAAGAAGTCCCCACCCACGATTACCTGAGATGAATATAGACTTAATTATCTTGAAAAATTGGACTTATTGCACCTAAGAGATCAACATACTTTGTTTACCATTATTAAATAATCTTCTTGTGTTGGCAATTCCATTCTAAAATCACACATCACAAAGTAAAGTTGTTTATCTTTCGTTAGCACAATGACAGACTTATTCAGACAATATCATAAGGAAAGATTGAGTTCCAGGAAGGAACACACAATAATGCAAAAACAATTCAGTGAATGTGAAACAAAACAAAAACAATTGTCTGAGGATGTTCATGAGCAAAACTAATTTTAATCGTCTTCTCAAAACAAAATACCTTTATATTGATTCATTAAACAAAACTCAGGTGTTAATCATTATAATTGTACATTTTACTTTAGTAAATATAAGACTCCCTTAATCTTCACCTCAGGAAAAATGTAACTTATTATACTCACTCTAAGTATACTTATAAATATATTTTATGTGCCGAGAATTAGGCTGCTACACAGTTACAGGAATAGATAAGTACACACTCTAGTAGGTAGGTAAATAGATGTAAATAGACCATTACAAAGTAGTTAACAACATTCTTAAGACTAACCTAGTTTAACTTCTAATTGTTAACATTGAACGTAGAGGTAAAATTCCCCACTAACTTTCTAGACATCTAACCGGTCGTCAAGTATAAGATTCTAGATTCCTACCTTTGTATGTCCACTTGTGTTGGCAGTGATAGGGATGTTTTCTAGGATTCTTTATAGTTGGTCTTTCACCGTGCCACATCTCTCCAACTATCCTATAGATAGAATAATCCATTTTTGAAGGAAACAGAGACATCATCTAGCCAAAAATATATACCTAAAGTTGTAGCATTGAAACACAGCCTGTCACTGTAAAACCACAAAGGATATGGTCGGAGAAGTAAAGGGGAATTCATGCTTTAAACCACAAATTTTCTTTTGTCATAAATTTTAGAGTTGCAGAACATTGTTAAAAGCTCTCGTGTAGCAATATTCAGTTTTTCTATTATTATCTTATTTTCTTTCCTTGTGGAGAAAATAGAAAGGAAAGGCAGACATGCCATTTTCTGATAAATTTGACAGAATTAATGACTCAATTGGGGTAATTATCCTAATTAATCACTTGTTTGGATTTCATCTGTTCCCTGCATTTGAAGACACACAGGCACAGTGCGTTTATTCCTCGTTTCTCTTTGGGATATTCTTGGATCCTTCCTCATTTGATTACTTTTGAAAGTTTTGGAAAATTCTGATAGCGTATTTAATAGAACGTTTCCTATTTGAAATAGTCAGAATTTTTCTCACGATTGCGCTTAAATTATATAGTTTTGACTGAAGACCAAAATGGTCTATTGTCATTCTCTTCGTATCCTCTAGAGGGAGCCAATCATCAGTATAACTATAGCTATAGCTATTAACTGGATAGCATTTGTCAGGTGTGTTTACCGCAAAGTTCCTCTACCTGCCCTGCTGGAGAAAATTATAAAAAGAATGTCTATAAACATTCACGTTACGGCCTTCATAAGGCTCAGCTTTTAAAATGAGAAGGGTGATTCCAGAATCATACCCTAGACTGTCTATCTTTATACAAAAGTGTTAACCATCTTTCCGAGCGGCTGTTCCTTTCTCTACTGCCAGTGTGAATGATGAGTCCCAGTACAGCATCACTGGATTCCGAGAACTTTAATGTCAGCATTCTGCTAGGCATCTGCTGACATCTCAGGGCTGGTTTTATTTACATTTCCCCACCGACAGATGATGCTGGACATGTTTGTGCGCTAATTGTCATGCTATACATATTCGGTGGATCTATTTGGACTGTAGGCTCAGATCTTACATGGGCTCTGTCTTTCCCTATTATGTAGTATTCAGAGTTCTTCGAATATCAGAGCACACATCTTCTTCTGTGTTTTGCAAATTTGTACTTCCAGTTTGCAGAATGTGTTTTCAATATCTTCAAACTGTCTTGTACAGCATCCTTTTTCTTATTCATGAAATGAACTTTAGGCATTGCATATAAAATTTTATAAATTTTCTTAACAAATCAAGTTTATATAAATCATCAATTGTATTTGCATCTGAGAGTTTTACAATTGTTTGTTTTTATATTTAGTTCTTTGTTTAAAAAATAATTTTTGTTTAAAGTGAAGAAATTTAAATGTTCTTTAAATTTTTATACATTGAGATCTAATTTTTCTAGCACTATGTATTACACAGATCTCTGTGTGTGTGTTTGTGTGTGTAGGCACAGGAGAACATGTATCATGTCCTGTTAGTTATTGAGAGGTCTTGTGTTTTACTAAAAGAAAACAAATAAACAAACAAGTGGGAAAGAATCAGTTGTATTGATGTGGCTTTATAGGTGGAAGCATATTCTGATCTCTTTATGTATCTGTTTATCCTTTTGGTTTTTGTTTTATTTTGTTACTTGAAACAAGATGTCATGTAAACCAAATTAGCTTCGAACTATGTATATAAGCAAGGTTTACTTTGAACAAGATCTGATTCTCTTGCCTATACCATTCAGTGACAGGTATGCACAATGACTCATGCATCACTTTGTTCTGTAGAGTCATGCTTATTTGAATATTCTAGATTAGGACCTCAAAATTGTTCTTTATGAATTCTCCAAACTCTTTCATTCTTCATCAAACTTGTGGAGATTATTCTAGCTATTTCTTTATATGTAAAATCATATTTTTACAGTCCAACATCAAAATGACTTGAATGGGTTTATTTGAGATTGTATACCATAGATAAAATTGAAGAAATTTGACATCTTAACAAAAGTGAATCTATCCATCCTCAAATATAGAATACTTCAGCATTTATTTAACAATTTGATTTCTTTTAGACGTTGTAGTTATCCACATATAAATCCTATATAATCATATCTAATTTTTTTAATGTTTTGATGCTATTGTAAATTGCACTTCTAAATGTTAAATTTTAATTACTCATTGTTAATATCCAGGAAACAATTAACTTCTTAACGTTAACCTTCAACCCTGTACATTTAGAGTCCTCCCTTCTACTTTTGGGAATTTTTTATGCTGGTTTTACAGGTGATCTACCTGGACAGTCATGTCTTCTGCTACAAAAATCTACTTTCTAAATATTGATTGAGTAAAAGAATAAATAAGTTAATATTCCCTTCCTTCTGACAATCTTGCGATTAAAAGCAGAATTTTTTTGGTTCACTATTTTCTAGTCTGTATACCTTTTGCTTTGTTCTTATATGAGGCCAGGGCTTCTCTTTCTTCACAAAGAGCTGTGACTTTCAGTCTAGTGTGAAAACAGGTGGTGAGAATGGGTAGCTTTTCTTCTGATTCTAAAGGAAGATAGAGTTGCCTCTCACCTTGAAATCCAATGTTAGTTGAACGCTTCGGTACACAGATCTCCAGGAGTCCCATGTTAGCTTGTTTTACATAACAAGTTCCAGACTAGCCTGGGGTTCATAATGAGACACTGGATAAAGAAAGAAATGAAATGGTTTTGGAGGAGGGGGTGAAGGGTGGAATAACTCACTTGCGTGATATAGGGCTATACCAGCTTTTTGTCAAAGCAAAAATATTATTTCTGCTCCAGTGGAGGAAAACATACATAGATGCAAAATTGTGAACCAGAAGGAAGACCCAGTGATATACATCTCTACTCCCAGGGTGAGAGACTGGGACAAGAATATGCTTGGTTCACCAGAGTGATCTACATACTTACCTTGTCTCGAAAAAAACGAACGAATTTTAAGTAGAAAGTGCATAGAACAATTGCTCTGTGCTCCAAATTCTAAACACATCTGACCTTGTTAGCCAAAAGCCTTGATCAGATTTTTAAACTGTTTCCTACATCAAAGAAAGGCAAAGATTGGTGGGACAACTGCAGTCAGTTCCTTGTCAATAGATCAGTGATGATGGCATTTCTTAGACACACTGTGAAGCCTGTGGTTTATCTAGACTTTTACCATCTATTTCCTGTGCCTTTATAATTTGTTTGAAATTTTGCAAAAGTTTTAATGATTCAGAGTAGCATGCACAGAAGTACACATACACACTGCCTGCTGGCTCGAGAAGCTGAACAGCAGCAGAAGAGTCACATGGAAGAGAAGTGTGGATCCAATGGGATTCTTCACCAGCATCTCCATTAGGAGAAACTACTTGTCAAGAGATTGGAGAAGATACAGAAGCAGAGAACAGCATAGAGCAACCTAGAGAATAAAAATAGCAATGAGCTTAAAGGCAGTGATAAACAACGGGTGTGTGAACGTGGTGCCTAGTGCAAGTTGTTTATACAAATGCGGTGCACATACATACAGGTCAGCAAAGTGTGTTGAACTCCCTGGAACTGGAGTTACAGATGGTCTTGAGCCCTCATGTGAGTGCTGAGAATTGAACCCCAGGTCTTCTGCAAACAAATACACACACACACACACACACACACACACACACACACACACACACAATATACACAACCTCAGCCATTTTTTCCATTCACTATTAATAATTCTGATTGACCTTAAGAAAAATAAAGATGTACTCTTGTACTCTTCTGGGAAAATCCCAATTCTAAATCAAAGCATGTATTTCTAGAAGGTTACAGAAAGGAGGCCCTTCTCAGAAAACCAAATGTGGTCTGTGAAATGGAAGATAGTATCTCTTTCTTACACGTTACATGATCTTTAGAGATAGCACTCAACCAAAGGGCTCTCCAGGGCTTGGACTATGTATCTGACCACACAGATAGACTGTGTCTTCCATTTTATTGTGTTGATGAAAATGTCACACAACGGAAAATAAGCTATGGCTTTCAAGAATAAAAAGAAAAATTCTGTCTTTTTATATACAGACTATCATAATTTCAGAGGTAAGAATCTATTAACATGACATTTTGAATTGGTGACATTGGTATGCTATAGAATGTGGCAATGCATTTTGAACCAAATTAAACACACAGAATTTTAAGGATTTCTGCCATCAATGAGATAAAGTACTATGAATCCTGCCATTTGAGTATGTGAGGAGATAATGAGATGAGCCAGATGTATCAGTATGAAACTAAAGGCAAATCTCCATGAACTAATAGCATCTAGTCACATCACATCCACAGTCAGAAGATAAAAGAGAGTAAACACAACCTACTGGGCAATACAGAATCTCAACCCAAGGGTACCACCCTCAGCGGTGGGTCTCCTTACCTCAGTTAACATAATGATGTAATCTCCATGAACAATTATAGATTCTTTTAAGTTTTTGATGAACCTAACCCTTACAGTATCTATTCCCCTGTTATTGTTATTGCATCTGGACACTAGGCTAGTGAATAGGCTTCCTTCATTCAGAAAAACTCTTCCTCCCTCAGCTTGCTGACCCATACACCAATTGTCTCCAGAAGCACTCTGATTTTGCTAAATATCTCCTAACACAATCAAGTTTACAACCAAAATTAGGCACCCTTCAGACATATATTAGCACCAAAGTTTTAAAAAAATACCAGCAAGACATAAGAAACATAAAACACATTAGCAGAATTGAACAAAATCTTCTCAGAAACGGAGATACCCAAATGACTGGTACAGGTATAGAAAACTTGATTGTCAATATTTATGATCAAATAAAGAATGCAAAATTTAGCCCACATATAATAGCATCAAATACATACAGATCAGCAAATTTTAATACAACTGAACACTTAAATATCAGTGAGACTGTGAAGCAATAGGAACAGTGGTCTATCATGAACTTGAAACAGAAAGGGATGCACAGTTATTTGGAAAAGTAGTTTAATACTAGCTAATAAAAGTCACACCAAAACTTTCTCATTTAAAAAATTCTACTCTTGGGTCGTTTTTCTAGGAAACAAGTAAAATGCCAGAAGTTACATGCATAGAAATGTCCAGTGTACTTCATGAAAGCTCTAAGCAGACATAACAATAATTGTCATGTCCATCAAAATAAGAGGGCTACAAAGTTACTTTACAAATTCATGTTAATGGTCAACTTGACTCCCTGAGGCAAGACTGTCTCATAAGCATAATACTGTGAGAAAGAACAACCACTTCATAAACAGAAAACTGGTACAGATGATGAGTAAAGTAGATGGATACATGATAGCTAGACAATTGATAATGATTGATAGATGATAGATACATGCATACATAGATATATAGATACACAGATACATATACTTATGCATGCATACATAATGTATGCATACATACATAGAGACATAGATCTAATACGGGTAGAATAAACTCTATGGTGACTGTTTGAATGGCCCTCCATAGGCTTGTGTATTTGAATACTTGGCCTGAATTTGGTGGAACTGCTTAAGAAATATTAGGGAAGTAGCCTTGTTGGAGGAGTTGTGTCACTGAGGGCAGGCTTTGAGGTTTCAAAAGCCCATGTTGTTCCCAGTTGACATTCTCTCTCTCTCTCTCTCTCTCTCTCTCTCTCTCTCTCTCTTTCTCTCTTTCTCTCTCTCTCTCCCTCTTACTTGTAGATCATATATAATCTCTCAGCTACTGCCCCAGTGCCTGCATATTTACTTCCATGGCTTCCATCATAGAGATAATGGACTCACCCTCTGCAACTGTAAGCAAGCCCCCAAATAAATGTTTTCCTTTATAAGTTGCATCTCTTAAAAGAAATATAAAAGATACAATCTGCAACCATAAACCCTCAAATAAACATTTTATTCTTTAAATTTTCTTAGTCCTGGTTTCTTATAACACTAATAGAAGAGGAACTAAGACAGTTGCAATCCCTGTAACCCCAGACATAAGCACAGGGAGGCAGGAAGACGTTAAGCTTGAAGCTAGTCTATACTAATGGGAGACAGAAAAAGAAAGAGGAGGGGAGGGAGAGGAAGAAGCAGGAGGAAGAAAAGAAAAAAAGAAGAGGAGGAAGAAGAGGAGGAGCAGGGGTAGAAGAGGAAGAAGAAAAAGGTAAAAGGAAGAAAAGGAAAAGGAGGAGGAAGAAAGGAAGGAGGAGAAGGAGGAGGAGGAAGAAGAAGAGGAAGAAGAAGATGATGATTATAATGAAAACAGAAGGATGATAAGTATGGGATAGACACAGTGGGAACACAAGTCTGCAGGACTAATAATATAAAACTATTTTTAGCAACTCCAAAACCTGTCTTCCTTTTTTTAACTTATAAATGACAATCTATACAAGTGTCTTTCACTTTTAATTATATATTTTTAATGTTTATGTTACAAATAGTAGCAATAGTGGGAATGTAGATGCTGATGAAAGATGAAGATGTATCATGTGTGTCAAAAGACTAGCATTTCATAACAAATGTGGGGTAGGGATCAATTGATCTGTATATGAAAAAATAAAATACTTGAAAAAATAACTTCATCTTGTACAAGAATGTGAGCCACACTCTCAGAAATGCAGTAGTTCATAAAGCAAAAATGGAATTGATTGTTAAAAAGGGTTGTAAGTTTATGCTTAGCGCTGTGAGATTACAGATACGATAGAGGAAATAAACTCATTGATCAAAGAAAACAGTAAATTCAGCAAATTCTTAACACAAAACACCCAGGAAATCTGGGACACCATGAAAAGAACAAATCTAAGAATAATTGGGGTAGGAGAAGGAGAAGAATTATAGTTCAAAGGCCCAGAAAATATATTCAACAAAATTGTAGAAGAAAACTTTCCCAACCTAAAGAAGGATATTCCTATGAAGGTACAAGAAGCATACAGAACACCAAATAGACTGGATCAAAAAAAAAATCCCCTGGCCATATAATAATCGAAACACAAAACATACAGAATAAATAAAGAATATTAAAAGCTGCAAAGGTAAAAGGTCAAATAACATATAAAGGTAAACCTATCAGAATTACACCTGACTTCTCTATGGAAACCATGAAAGCCTGAAGGTCTTTGATAGATGTGCTGCAGAAACAAAGAGACCATGGATGCAAGCCCAGACTACTATACCCAGCCAAAATTTCATTCACCATCAATGGAGAAAACAAGATATTCCAGGATAAAAACAAATTTAAACAATACGTAGCCACAAATCCAGCCTTATAGAAAGTAATAGAAGGAAAATCACAACCCAAGGAACCCAAAAATGCCCACAATAACTCAGACATCTAACAACCCTTCACCAGCACAACTCAAAGAAGGGAAACACACAAACTCTACCACCAAAATAAATAAATAAATAAATAAAATAACTGGAGTTAACAACCACTGGTCATTAGTATCACTCAATATCAATGGACTCAGTTCACTTATAAAAAGGCACGGGTTAAGAGATTGGATGCGAAAACAGGATTCAACATTCTGCTGTTTACAAGAAACACACTTCAACCACAAAGACAGACATATACTCAGAGTAAAGAGTTGGGAAAAGGTTTTTCAATCAAATGGGCCTAAGAAAAGCAGGTGTGGCTATACTAATATCTAACAAGATTGACAACAAACTAAAATCAATCTGAAGAGATGAAGAGGGACACTTATACTCATAACAGGAACAATTCATCAGGATGAAGTCTCAATCCTAAATATCTATTCCCCTAATATAAAAACAGCCACTTGTGTAAAAGAGACATTATTAGAACTCAAGGCAGTCATCAAACCCCACACACAAATATTGGGAGACTTCAACACTCCTTGCTCACCAATGGGTAGGTCAATCAGACAGAACCTAACAGAGAAATAAGAGAACTAATGGAGGTAATGAATCAAATGGACTTAAAAGATATCTATAGAACATTCCACCTAAATAGGAAAGAATATACCTTCTCGACATCTCATGGGATCTTCTCAAAAATTGATCACATACTCGGTAACAAAGCAAACTTCCACAGATACAAAAAAAAATTAGTAACCACCTGTGTCTTATCGGATCACTGTGGAATAAAGTTAGAATTTGACAATAATTCTACCCCCAGAAATCCCACAAACTCATGGAAACTGAACAGTCAACAACTGAACCACACCTGAGTCAGGGAAGAAATAAAGAAAGATATTAAAGTTTTCCTTGAATCCAGTGAAAATAAAGACACAACATACCCAAACCTATGGGACACTATGAAAGTTGCTAAGAGGAAAGTTCATAGCTCTTAGTGCCCACACACACACACACACACCAAAAAAAAACCAGAGAAACAAACAAACAAAAAAAAATGGAGAAAGCTCACATTAGAGACTTAATAGCACAACTGAAAGCTCTGGAAAAAAAAGAAGCAGATTCACCCAGGAGGAGTAGAAGACTGGAAATAATCAAACTGAGGGCTGAAATCAGCAAAATAAAAACACAGAAAACAATACAAAGAATCAAGGAAACAAAGAGCTGGTTCTTTGAGAAAGTCAACAAGACTGACAAACTTTTATCAAAACTAATCAAAAGGTGAGAGAGAGAACATGCAAATTAACAAGATCAGAAATGAAAAGGGAGACATAACAACAGACACTGAGGAAATTAGGTCTTACTACAAAAGCTTATATGCCACAAAGTTGGAAAATGTATAAGAAATGGGCTTGTTTTTAGATAAATAGCATTTACCAAATTAAATCAAGACCAGGCGAACAATTTAAATAGACCTATAAGTCATGAGGAAATAGAAGCTGTCATAAAAAAACCTCCCAACCAAAAAAAGCCCAGGACCAGATGGTTTTAATGCAGAATTTTATCAGAACTCCCAAGAGGTGATACCTATACTTCTTAATGTGTTTCACACAATAGAAACAGAATAGTCATTGCCAAACTCTTTTTATGAAGTGACAGTCACCCTGATTTCAAAACCACACAAAGACCCAACCAAGAAAGAGAATTATAGACAGATCTTGCTCATGAACATCGATGCAAAAATTCTCAATAAAATTCTGGCAAACAGAATCCAAGAACACATAAAAAATTTATCCATTCAGACCAGGTAGGCTTCATCCCAGAGATGCAGGGCTGGTTCAACATAAGAAAATCTATCAATGTAATCCACAATACAAATAAATTGAAAGAAAAAACCATATAATCATTTCATTAGATGCTGAAAAGCATTAGACAAAATTCAACATCACTTTATGATAAAAGTCTTGGAGAGGTTAGGAATATAGGGATCATATCTAAATATAATAAAGGCAATATATAGCAAGCCAACAGCTAATATCAAAAAAATCAGTAGCCCTCCTATACACAAAGGATAGAGAAGCAGAGAGGGAAATTAGAGAAACTTCACTTTTTACAGTAGCCACAAATAGCATAAAGTATCTTGGAGTAACTCTAACCAAGTAAGTGAAAGATCTATTTGACAAGAACTTTAAGGCTTGGAAGAAGGAAATTGAAGAGGACCAGAAAAATGGAAAGATCTAACATGCTCTTTGATGGGTAGGATCAACATAGTAAAAATGGCCATTCTACCAAAGGTAATCTATAAATTCTATGCAATTCCCATCAAAATCCCAACAAAATTCTTTACAGACCTTGAGAGAACAATAATTAACTTTATATGGAAAAACAAAAACCCAGGATAGCAAAAACAATCCTATACAATAAAGGAACTTCTGGAGGCATTACCATACTAACTTCAAACTCTATTACAGAGGTACAGTAATGAAAACAGCTTGGTATTGGCATAAAAACAGAGACGTTGACCAATGGAGTCAAACTGAAGACCCGGATATTAACCTACAAACCTATGAACACCTGACTTTCGACAAAAGAGCTAAAAGTATACAATGGAAGAAAGAAAGCATCTTCAACAAATGGTTTTGGCATAACTGGATGTCAACCTGTAGAAGAATGAAAATAGATCCATATCTATTACCATGCACAAAACTCAAGTCCAAATGGATTAAAGACCTCAATATAAATCCGACCACACACTGAACCTGATATCAGAGAAAGTGGGAAGTAGTCTACAACACATGGACACAGAAGACCACTTCCTATATATAACCCCAGTAGCACAGACAATAAGGGCATGAGGTTGGAGGAAGGGGAGACGGGTAGAGGGAAGCGAGGATGAAAGGACTGGCAAGAGCTTGGGGTGTGGGAGGATGGAGACGGAAGAAGGGTCGATATAGGAGCAGGGAAGAAGATACCTACATTAAGGGATCCATTTTAGGGTTGGCAAGAAACTTGACTCTAGAGGGGATCCCAGGTGTCCACGGGGATGTCCCCAGATAGGTCCTTGGACAGCAGAGAAGAGGGTGCCCGAACTGTCCTTGCCCTGCTATCACGCTGATGATTATCTCGAATATCACCATAGAATCTTCGTCCAGCAATGGATGGAGATAGAGACAGAGACGCTCGTCAGAGCAATGGACTGAGCTCCCAAGGTCCAGTTGAAAGTCAAAAGGAGGGAGAAGACGAGCAAGGAAGTCCGGAGTGACTGAGGCAGGGTGCCTGTTCTAATGGGAGCTCACCAAATCCCGCTGGACCGGGTCTGAATGAGCATGGGACCAAACTGGACTCTGATTGTGGCTGACAATGGGGGCTGACTAAGAAGCCATTGATAAAGGCACTGGGACTTGTTTTTACAGCATGTTCTGGCTTTTTGGGACCCTAGTCTATATGGATGCACAACTCCCTAGGCCTGGATGTAGAGGGGAGGGCCTTGAACTTCTCACAGGGCAGGGTTCCCTGCCCTCTCTCAAGCAGGGAGGGAGAGGGAGAAGAGGATGTGGAGTAGCCGGAGGGGATTGGGAGGAGGGAAGGAAGTGTAAATATTTGAATGGAAAAATAAAAAAAAAAAGAGCTTCCTGTTTTCACACTGCGATGCAAACGGTGCCCATAAAAATACTACTTTGTTTTAATTCTTATAAATTTGGTAGGCTCTTTAACGGCTTCAGACACCAATATTGGAAATTTTATTAAAAACTGTTCTTTATTCTTGATAATATCTAAATGTGGTATATTCCCCTAGCAGCCATTGTAAACTTACATAATGATTTTATCTCATCATTTTGCTGGAATTAAAGCCTGAAACGCTAGAGCAATCTATCCCTTTTTCTTTTCTCCTCTCCACATATCAACTCTGAAGTAATTATCACAATGTGGCAACCTTTTCACACAAAGCTTGTTGTGGTTTCAGGATCATAGAATGTATACCCGTGAAAAATATCATATAACCAAGTACTGCATTTACATGAAATAAATTAATTGCTGATTTGTGGTTAAGATATTTTTGTCTAGGATGGTCCCCGACAATGAGCTAAATCTTATATATTCTATATATAAATTTTATATTTCATATTAAAATTTATAATAAATATAAGTAAATAAATATAAAGTATTCATAGTATATAAATATAATAAAAATATGTAGCAAATTTAAACATAAATACAAAAATAAAAACATGTAAATATAATTAAATAAATGTAAAATATATAATAAATAAATGAACATAAAGATATAATATATAATTCATGCATCACAAATCATATAATTTATAGTATAAAATATGATTACTATTTTAATTATAGTAATATCAATAGAATTATAGTTAATTATATCACATATTATATTATAATTAATATGTAATATTAATATGACCATGTGTTAATACCTATGCATTAATATGTAATCATATAAAATGTTATATATCTTATATTTACTTATGATAAATAAATCAATGCAAATATAAATAAATATAAAATACATAATATATAGATACACAATATAGTAAAATGCATAAAATAACTATAAAATATACAAATATAAGTTCAAATATAAAATAATTAAATAGATAAATAAAATGTAAGGAGAGATGTTATATTATATAAAAATTATAATATGTAATTTATATATTATATTATATCATATAATTATTAATATATAACCTAATTAACATAGACTACAATATTAATTATAATATCAATTATTCTGTTATGTTATATTTAATTAATATATGATATAAAATAAATGCTGTATATTTATATAAATTTTATATATATTAATTCATTGAAATTAAGTGTTAAATTAAATTCAGCATTTTGCATTATTACTTTTCCTGATTGATTCTTACAGAATAAAGAAGCTGGTCAATGTTTACAAAGAGTGTCAGGGAGGTAGTCAGTAAGAGACGGGTATGCTCACCTAGCTGTTAAGGCTCCATGAAAACACAAGCTTAGCCTGTCTTTTGCTTTTAGCTCACAACTGTGGAAGACACAAGTCAATCAACAAAGCAGAAAGCACAGTCAACAGCAGGTGGGAAGAATGTCACACCTTGTTTTAAAGTCCTGAAGTAGGACATTCAAGGTTTGGGTGTTTGCTTGTTTTTGAGACAGGTCTCACTGTGTAGCCCTGGCTGGCATAGAGCTCACTATGTAGAGTTAGCTGGCCTTAACTCTCAGAGATCCCCTACCTAAGACTTCTGAATGAAGGGATTAAAGGTGCATGCCACCATGTTCAGCAAGGTATTCAAGTTTTATGAAAATAAATTAAAAATTAAATGCTGATCTTTCTTTGAGCATTTAAGCAACCCAGTACAAAATCTTTCGTGTTTTAAATAAACATAAATAAGTGCATATGCATATATTTTTCTAATGTTACCAAGCTTATCAGAGAAGCAGGGGTGCAATGTTAGCAGTGTTGTCTGGAATCTAGGACTTGTGTCTTGTCTTAGTCATTCTGTTTGAATGAACTTTTCCTTCTGAAGCAGCAGTAGCTTCACCCACTTTGGCAGTGTCCTTTCAGATGGATTGATATAGGCAGCAAATGATCAAACTTAAGAAACAACTTGAGAATGATGGTTGGGTATGTTAATTAGAATTTGTATTTGAGGTAAATGGAGCAATTTCCTGAGCTGTAGGAAGTGTTAGATTTTTGGTAGGTTATTTCTTCTCTTCCTGTTCTAATTGGAGACATAACAAATATACTTCTCAGATTATGATTTATGAAAGGCACTGTATGTTTTACTAAAAATGTGTAGCCTTTTCCCTTCAGAAAGCAGAGAGCACGCAGATCCCACAGGACGAGTGAAGACCTAAAGTTTCTGTCTCCAGACTCAGTACAGTTAGGACTGGTGAGAGGGGATGCAGTGTTATCCGAGGAGCAGAGATGCCCACGGGTTTCAACCTGTGCCATCCTTAGTTATTTTGCATCGTGTTTTGGTTATTAGTAATGCTGTTGGATGGAATTGGATGAGACTTGGTTATTTCACACGAAGGAAAATAATTTGCTCAGGAAAGGGTGAGCAGCAGATAAGTTTCTTCAACTTTCTGCAGTGTTGATAATTTTGAATAGGACTCTGAGCAGTGTTAGTTTTGGCAGGTGAAGATGACCCTTGGGACTCTTTTAAGGTTCATTTTTAGTTCTATGTGTTGGGAGAGGTAGAGAGGGGGGAGAGAGGATGGGAGAAGGGGTGAGACTGAGAAAGAGAGAGAGAGAGAGAGAGAGAGAGAGAGAGAGAGAGAGAGAGAGA